CTAATATATTCCCATCAGAGTGAGTGGAGGACTGTATACACTGTGCTAATGCAAAAGATGGTTAGGTTGAATAGTTGGGATGTATCTGGGTTGTTGACATCAATAGGGAAGTTAAAATCTCTGAGAATGATAGTGGGTAGTTCAGAGAAGAGAAAGTAGGGTAGCCAGCAGGAGAAATCAAGAAAGCGGGACACGGGTCCAGGAGGCCAATAGATTACTGCAATCTTCAGAGAAACGCGAGAAGACAGCCGAATGCATGGAGTCTCAAAAGAAGAAAAAGGATAAAGAGGGAGGGTTCAGGAGGACTTGAAAGGTGCTCAGTGGGGATAGAAGCAAACCAACCCCACATCCTTTCTGACCACTGGGTCTGGGTGAGTGGGTCCAGAGGAGGCCTCCATAGGAAAGTGCTGCGGGAGAAGCAGAATCTGCTGCTTGGAGCCAGGTTTCTGTAATTGTTAGTAGGTTAAGGGAGTGGGAGACAAAGATCATGGACAGAGGTGAGCTTATTACAGACAGAGCGGGCATTCCACATGAAAAAGGGAGGGTGGTTTTTGGGAGCACGGGGACCGAAATTAAATTGAGGGGATTGCGGCTATTCCTGGAGGAAAGAGGGTGCCTGGTGTGGGGGTGAGATATTGGAGGATCAGGGTTTGGGGTGATATCCCCAGAGGTTAGGAGAAGGAGGGTGAGGAAAACAGCATGGGAGTGGGATGTACCAAAGTGTACATGCCTTCCAGTCCTGGTGTTTGGGTCAGCAGGAGGTGATGAGAGCAGTAATAGGGAGATGGTAGGGGTGAGATGTACAAGTTTTGGGGTGGAGAAGAGGGGTAGTAGAGTATATTAGAATCTCTGGAAGTAGGGTCACTGATCAGAGGAGGGAGAGGCCTGCTTTATACAAGGAAGATGGGCAGGGAAGTAGAGAAGGAAGGATTACCATTGGCTGCATTTTAATTTTAAATAACCCCAAAATGTTCTGATTTGCATATAAAACAGGTTTTCTAGAGAATAGGTAATAGGATTAAACTCAAATACTTTAAAATGTTACTGAGTTTTAAAAATTAACCCTTCCACCATATTAACAAATGGCAAATTTGATTTTATTTTTTATGATTTGTTTCTCTACCCGATTCTAGATTACGACTAGAGGGAAAGCTAACCAGATTACTCACTAATGTCGGGAGCTTCTTGCCTGTACATTACCTATAGGTAATTGCTGGTTCTTTTATACCATTATGTCTTATTTCCAGTAACATTGTACACAAATGAGTTTGGTTTTTGTTAAATTCCTTTTGAAACTAGAGTATAAAAATAGTTTGCATGAGGTTTAAAAGGACCTGTCAGGATATTAATATTGGAGCTGCCATGTCTGAGCTTATTTCTAGAGATTAATCTTCAAACATCCTCATCATTTCTTCACTACTTGTTGGGTCAGTGACCTAGAACAAGCCATGTGTATATCAAATAATGGAAAATATACTGACATAATATATAGTACACGGTCTTATTCATTTTTTTTATATAACCCTTTAATATTTGATTCAGGCACAGAAAACACCCAAATAGTACTACATATCTACATTGGGTCAACATCTTGCTGATAATTTTTTTTACCTCCTTTCCCCATTCATAATATTGATATTACACCAAAGTCAGAATAGTTATTAGAATCCAATTATTGCAGCGAACAGACCAGAATGTTCTGGTGGTTTGATCCCAGGTTCTATTCCCAAACAGGAACACAACATTTTCCATTTATTAGAGTCAGAGCAGTGTGTGTGTTTTTGGTGGTGGTTTTTATTCTTGGGTAGAACATCGATCAGGTGAGCCAAGAGATACTCCAGTAACCATAACTTGATGAGGACTCGACTTCAGGGTGCATGAACCCCCTTTGTTGCCAGTTTATACTTCATACAGGAATGCAGTCCTGAATGTAGAGTAGTAGCTCATGTTCTCTTAGAAAAAAGTCTTTAGACCTAGAAGCAGGATACTCACCTTTTCCTGGTTTCCAGGCAGTCATGTGAATGGTCAGTCACAGGGGTGGACTGACCATTTGGAAACTCGGGCACTGCCCGAGGTCCGTAGCGGGCCCCAAGAGATGCCCCTTGTACCTTTTTAATAGGCTTTTTTGAGTTTTGGCAAGGACACAGGGGCCCCATGATCCCCTATTGCCCGGGGGCCCCATGAGTTGTCAGTCCACCCCTGGTCAGTCATCTTCAATACCCCAGCAGCCTGCATCTGAGAGGCTTTCTGAGAACGTTCCAGGAGTTTAGAAGAGAGGTCCTCCAGCACAGCTGTATCTGGGACTCCACTAAAGTGCTGGAAGTTCCAAGTGAATTTAAAAACGGGGATGTCACATCCTTCAGGCGCAGTCTTACTCCCCCAGGAACAACAGCCCCCTGCTCTGGACTCTTTATACCTCCATCACTCCAGGGAGATATTAACATGCAGTCTGGGGGTCATTCTCCAACCCACTATGTCCCAGGGACAGGGGGGAAGTAATTGAGCACATACCTTTAGAGCCCAGAGCAGACCTAACTAATCAAGCAGTGCTCTCCCTGGTTTAAAAAAAAAAAAAAAAAAAAAAAAAAAAAAAAAAAAAAAAAAAGGGGAAGAGGGATTTAAACAGAACAGTAGCTCTATGGGGCACTGCATTATTTTGTTTTTTTTTTTTTTTTTTTTTTTGTTTGATCATAATTTCTTCTCTTATTAGTATCTGTTTTAAATCCAATGTATATAAGAGGTATGGTCTATAGCATCATGCCAAATAATCTCAAGATTGTTTTCTTTGGTCAACTTTTGCATCAACTATGAATTTATTAAATATATCATGCATATTATATACTCACATACATAGATTTAGTAGATTATCCATTTTCACTGTGTATTGAACTTGCTTCCCAGAGCTTTAGCATTTGATCTTTTAGGGCTCGTTCACACTAGGCTGTTTTGCCAACGCTTGCCAAACGCCCCTATAGCGTTTGGCAAGCGTTGGTCCGGTGTTTGCGGAGCGTTTAACGCTCCGCAAACGCCGCATGCGCGGTTTAGCGGCGGTTGCTAGGCATTTGCCGAGCGCTAATAACGCCCCACAAACGCCTATAATGCATTTGAGTGGTGTTACCGCTCCACAAACGCCCCGCAACCGCATCACAACCGCACCGCAAACGCCGGCCGGGCGTTTGCGGAGAGGCACCATAGACGAAAATAGAAGGCTTCAAAGCCTCCTGACTCGACCAGAGGCGTCAGTTTTGCCGCCGGAATCCCGAAGGCAGCCGCCAGCATCAGGACTATGAACACACGGGCTCCGCTTCCATCCAGGTAGACGTGCAGATTGATGAACACCCAGCAAGAGCGTGTATTTCTTTGTCCCCTGCAGAGCTAGGTGTATAGCGCCAATGCGCCTGACCGGTAGTGACGTCACTGACGTGTGATGTCAACGCGTTTTGCCGATGGGCGTATTTTACTCGGCTTAGTCAGGACCAATAGAATGCATAGCTGGAGACTCCATTTATCAGGCGAATCACCGCCCATATATGCAAATACACATCCAGCAGAGCATTTCATTGGTTAAAAAAAAAAAAAAAAAAAAAAAAAGTAATTATGGAAAAAAAAAAACTTATGAATGGTATTTGGGCTTCAGTTCATATATTACACTGGTACCAATGTTTTTGCATTGTAATTTTTGATGCATAGCCCTTTATGTCTACAATATTTGTGTATAACCCCTGCATGGTGGTGTCTCCTATGTGCCTGTGCTGCATATATACTAGACCTAGTGTACTTGTATTTACAGCACAACAATACTCATGGCCGGTCATAACGTCCTTTTAAATATTAATTTTAAATTCTTTGGTATGGTCTCATCTCATAGTGATGGCTAACTGTGGTATATACCGTATTTTTCGCTCCATAAGACGCACTTTTTTCCCAAAAAAATATGGGGGGAAAATGTCTGCGTCTTATGGAGCGAATACTGACCAGTCCTCCACCTGTCACCGCCGCCGTGTTAGTGCCAGCGGCTGTCCCATCCCAGTGCAGCCTGTCCCCTCCCACTGCAGGCTGTCACCGAAGTTCACCTTGCCCTCTCTCAGCGGGCTGTCCCCGCAGCTCTTCATAGCAGGCAGTCCCCTCGCCGAACCCAGCCAGCTTGCTCTGCAGTCCGGTCCGCCCTGCAGGCGTGGCCTGTCCCCGGAGCTCATCCCCGCTCCTGGCATGTCTATGTACTGAGCTCCCAGCTCTGCAGTCCGGTCTGCGGGTGTGGCCTGTCCTTACAGCGCCTCCCCTTTCCTGGCATGTGTCCATAGTGTGCTCCCTGCTCTACAGTCCGGTCCTATCTGCTGGTGTGGCCTGTCCTCGGAGCTCAGTGCGCCCCCTGCCTTCTATAACCTGCCTTCTGCAAGTTAAAATGACAGATGCTGGGAGTTGTAGTCCTTTTCCTTGGTGTATGGTGTCAGATCATTTGATATTCTGGGTGGAGGGGCCTGTTGGGACTTTATAGGATGTACTGTGTCCGCAGTCTCTGGGCATCCCCTGTACTGTGTCCGCAGTCTCTGGGCATCCCCTGTACTGTGTCCGCAGTCTCTGGGCATCCCCTGTACTGTGTCCGCAGTCTCTGGGCATCCCCTGTACTGTGTCCGCAGTCTCTGGGCATCCCCTGTACTGTGTCCGCAGTCTCTGGGCATCCCCTGTACTGTGTCCGCAGTCCATTGGTTCAGAATATTTTTTTTTTCCCAGTTTTTTCTGCCTCTAAAACCTAGGTGCATCTTATGGAGCAAAAAAATACGGTACCTAAAATGTCTAACTTGCATAATTTGCAATAAAGCATACATTTTTGGGTATCGCTTTCTGTCCATGATGTAACCGCTTTTTTTTGTGAATTTCTTTTCACATCCCCCCTTTTTTTTTGCCGTTTGGTTACTTGGCAGATAGAATACATTCAGCAATAGTGATAAATATGTGTGGCCTCATGCTCTCGTTATTAGTATACAATCAAGCCCCTAGACATGCAGACTGCTTCTACAAACATTGGTGAAAGAATGGGTCGCTCTCAGGAGCTCAGTGACTCCAAGTGTGGTCCCGTGATAGGTGGCCACCTGGGCAATAAGTCCATCTGTGACATTTCCTGGCTACTAAATATTCCACGCTCTACTGTTAGTGGGATTATAACAAAGTGGAAGCAACTGGGAACAACAGCCACTCAGCCACCAAGTGGTAGGCCACGTCACATGACAGAGCGGGGTCACGCACAAGTACTCAACTGTCTGCAGAGTCAATAGCTAAAGACCTCCAAACTTCATGTGACCTTCAGGATTAGCACAACAGTGCGTAGAGAGCTTCATGGAATGGGTTTCCATGGCCGAGCAACTGCATCCAAGCCTTATATCACCAAGTGCAATACAAAGCGTCAGATTCTGTGGTGTAATGCACACCACCACTGGACCCTAGAGCAGTGGAGATGTGTTCTCCTGAGTGACCAATCACGCTTCCCTGTCTATCGATCCGATTGACGCGTCTGGATTTGGCAGTTGCCAGGAGAACTGTACTTGCCTGACTGCATTGTGCCAAGCAGGGGCAGACTGACCATTTGGAAACTTGGGCACTGCCCGAGGTCATAAGGGGGCCCCATGAGATGCCCCTGGTACCTTTTCCACAGGCTTTTTTTGAGTTTGGGCAAGGACACAGGGGCCCCATGATCGCCTATTGCCCGGGGGCCCCCATGATTTGTCAGTCTGCCCCTGGTGCCAAGTGTAAAGTTTGGTGGAGGGGGGATTATGGTGGGGGTTTTTTTTTTCAGGGGTTGGGCTTGGCCCCCTAGTTCCAGTGAAGGGAACTCCTAAGGCATACCAAGACATTGTGGACAATTTCATTTATTAACTTTATGGGAACAACCACTACCTGTTCCAACATGACTGCGCAAGTTTGGGGTGGAGGAACTTGATTGGCCTGCACAGAGACCTGACCTCAACCCCATAGAACACCTTTGGGATTAATTAGAGCGGAGACTGCGAGCCAGGCCTCCTCCCCCGACATCAGTGCCTGACCTGACAAATGTGCTTCTGAAAAAATGGTCCAACCTTCCCATAGACACCCTCCTAAACCTTGTAGTTGGCCTTCCCAGAAGAGTTGAAGCTGTTCTAGCTGCAAAGGGCGGGGCCAACTCAATGTTGAACCCTACGGACTAAGGCTGGGAGGCCATTAAAGTTCCTGTGAGTGTAAAGGCAGGCTGAACAATACTTTTGGAGATATATATATATATATATATATATATTCTGGGGATTACACTCACACTGGTGCAAAGTAAAATCAAATTCCCCCTTTTTCAAACAAAAACAAAAACAGCTTTCTGACAGCAAAAAGAAATCAAACTGTCCCAGCAGCTTGATAATAGTCCTTTACACAGAAATAATCTTTGTGGGCTTACCACCATCCACAGAATAGACAGCACTGTCACTCCAGGGCTGTGTGCTCACCTTCCTCTGAGGTTCAAACAGTGCTTAGCCACTCCACCAAAAAATGGCTCAGCAGTTTAGGAGTAGACAGTGTTCCTCAACCATGTATCTACCTACACAGCTCCCACAGCCCTCTACCATTAACTCAAAGTCTTCAGAGACCCACAAACTAAAACAGGAGAAACTGCTAACCAATTTTCCCTTGTCAGCATTTCCCTGAAACCTCTCAAAAGGAGCAAAAATACCACCCCTCTGACACATCCTTGGTGCCTTCTAACATATATGTAGTAATCTGGGGCAGCTCTGGAATGACCACCAGCTAGTCTGGTGAAAGCAAAAAAGACAGCTTACTTCATCCAAAGTCTAGAAACAGTCCAAAACCTGATATCTGAAGCTAAACCACAAGCTCACCATTAATGTTCAATCACATACAGGGGGTTAACCTCCTTCACAGTAAGGGCAGCAGCCCATATCTTGTCTGACCACTTACCACACAACTTCTGAGTCTCTCCCATTGACTTCCCTGACACACCTTTTGATTTCCCTTTGCTGACATTTAAACCTTCCTCACCTGGAACTTAACCCCTTTGGGCCCAAAGTCCTGGTAGTCAGGACTCTAATACAAATGTAACCATCTTGGGAGTACTGCAATGTCTGTGTAATTGTCTCCCTTAACAAGACCACACCCTAAAAATTGGGGAACTATATCTGCCATCCAGGATAAATTCCCAGTGTCCTGTACTATACATATATATATTTGCAGGTAGCCTGGGAAAGTCCTGTTCAGGATTTACACATCTCCCAGGCACCTTTGGAGACCTTAGTCTATTCCAGGTTTTCCGCCTCTCCCTTTCAATTTAGTCTCACCTGGACACCCAGTCAGTACTCTGCAGTCTGGGGAGAAAACAGGTCTTCTCTGTTGGAACTAAAGGTTGGTAAAGCTGTGTATGTGGAGGCTGACAGTAGGTTTGGGCAGCCTGTTTGTTAGGATTGCTCATGTGCAGTAAAAGTTGAGACATGGATAGGCTTTGTAGAAAGTTTCATTTTTCTTCTCAAGCATTGTCCAGCACCTGGGAACGTCACCAGTGTTTGCTGCAACGTTACTGGACTGGTATAGACATGTACACACTCTCAATGAAGAACTTATTGAACAATTCCAATTTCCTCTGAAAGGAGTGGACAGTTGTTATAAATCATATAGTATTGTTCTTGCCACTGATCTACACGTTAGCTCTTTTGGGTCAAGCTGGCTGCTCTATAGTAAAGGTTGCACACACTGTATGAAGCCTCAGCTATATACTGTATTCAGCTCTGTGATCCAGCTCTGGGACAGGAACTATCCCTTCCCATTTTGGAATACAATTGAGTTGGGCTGAGTGCTGACCTCAGGAGTAATCCATAGACTGGGGAGAGCTCTGAATGGAAGGTGGATGACAACCAGCATTGAGGGACTCAGAAGTAGACATAAGTGGTGTGTGTAGGAAGATGGGATAAGAATTTGAGCCAGACACCGTGCTGTACAAAGGGCAAAGTCTGCAGGGTTGTATTCCAAAAGGAGAGCCCTACACATTGTTCTACTATACTATCTAAGGATCAGGGGTGGACTGATAACTCATGGGGCCACCGGACAATAGGGGATCATGGGGCCCCTGTGTCCTTGCCCAAACTCAAAAAAGCCTATGAAAAAGGGATCAGGGGCATCTCATGGGGCCCCCCTACTGACCCCGGGCCCTTGGGCAGTGCCCGAGTTTCCAAATGGTCAATCCGCCCCTGCTAAGGATACATTGTCTGGACTGGAGATGAGGCTGGATGAGAGATTTATCCAAATTAAAGAGTGGAATGATATTTAGTATCCGATCATAGGTATTATTTCTCCTGAAGTGTTTGTGTGTAACTCTATGGAGTACTGTTGTTGAAGATGATATTCATAAGCTAGTGGACAGACATCTTTATTTCCATAAAGGGTCTAGTGCAGGGGCGGACTGACCATTTGGAAACTCGGGCACTGCCCGAGGGCCCGGGTCAGTAGGGGGCCCCATGAGATGCCCCTGGTACCTTTTTCATAGGCTTTTTTGATTTTGGGCAAGGACACAGGGGCCCCATGATCCCTGTTGCCCGGGGGCCCCATGAGTTGTCAGTCCGCCCCTGGTCTAGAGAGATGCACAACAGAAACGTTTTGGTCCTACTCCATTGTTTAATATGATAATAATTTTGTTTCATCATATTCAAATGGATTTGAAGTTCATATTTTGGAAGACAGTGTGGTGTGTTTTTTTTTTTTTTTCATTCTATTCCTTTTTTTTTTTTATTGGAAAAACAGAATATTGGCCACACAAACAGCAACGTGGTGGATGGAATCCTTTATTTGGAATCATTTACATGCAATGTGATAAGAACATGACAGCTCCAAGACAGGATAGAGGAGCAGGACATATTGGATTCCAATAAAGGATTTCATCCACCACATTGCTGTTTGTGCGGCCAACCATTCTGTTTTTCCATTGCATCTGTGATCATGGATTGGGCCAGCACCTGCGTGTCTGTGGAGGGGTTCTGGAGATCCGGCACTCACCTGGAGTAGATCTTTTGCTCTTTCAGTTGGTCTTTACACTTTTATATATTTTTTTTTTTTTATTCCATTCTTTTCTATTTAACCTTTTCTGTTGTGGTTTTTTTTTTTTTCTCTTTTCCATCTTATTTCTCTGTTTATTGCAATATGTTTCCATTTCGAATTTGAAAAAAATTAGTTTTGGATTCCGTACTATTTGGATTCAGAATATTGTATACAATATCAAAATAACAAAAATTTGTCTGAATTTTGATTGGTAATTAAACTAATTGCACATGTTTAAAAGTGTCTTCTAGATTTGTTTAAAATGAAGTGCTGATATCCAGTATATTCATCTAATTTGTTCATTTAAGGTGAGGTGGAGAAGCCAGCAGACCTTGGGTGGAATACACCCATCATGACGTTGTTTTCGTAAACGAAACAATAATTCAACGACTTACTAAATGTCTCTTATTTTTTTCCAGATTGTCAGGAATCCTCCCATGCATTATCTATGTTCAGGGGTGGACTGACCATTTGAGCACTCAGGCACTGCCCGAGGGCCCGGGGTCAGTAGGGGGCCCCATGAAATGCCCCTGGTACACTTTTTTTAGGCTTATTTGAGTGTGGGCAAGGACACAGAGGCCCCATGATCCACTATTGCCCGGGGGCCCCATGAGTTGTCAGTCCGCCCCTGTCTATATTCCTCCCTATAAGGAAAGCTATGACTACCAAAGATGAGCTTTACATACTGTATGCTTTGGGGAGCAGGACATTCTTCCGCTACCTATGACTGGCTGTCAGCTTTGACTGCTTCCCAGCAGGATAGTTCAGACTGGTTAAACATTATTAATATTATTATTATTTTTTTGTTCAGCCACCAGGTTGTTCAGATTCCCCCATCCACACAAGAAAAGTTGATAGAGGAATCTTCCCCGCTGTGCCATTGTATTCTGACAGCGGGGAATCTTCTGCTGTCAGAATGCATTGATCAGTGCAGCAACCAATTGGCTGCAAGCATTGATCGAATGAAAGTTTCCAATATTACCATTGGAGAGAAGCTGATCATTAGACTGACTTTTGTCAAGCAGGAGCAGCCATAGATGGATCCAAATTCAGCCAGTCCCTGTTGAATGGCCAAATGTTGATCCATCTATAGCCACTTTCAGTCATGCCCTGGGTGGGAAAGTATACAATGGGTCACATTGGAGTGTCAGAGACTTTCATTATCGTTTCTCTCTTCTGCTTTCAGCAATGGCATCTGCTGATCTGAGGAAGGAGCTGGAATGTTTCATCTGTTCGACCATTTATACAGATCCTGTAACACTAAAATGTAGACACAACTTCTGCCGGGACTGTATTGGCCGTGTGTTGGATACACAGGAGGGGTCTGGAGGTTATTCCTGTCCTGAATGCAGAGAAGAGTTCCAGGAGCGGCCTGAACTGCAGAGGAACATAACACTGCATAACATAGTGGAGAATTTTCCATCTGTTCAGCCAGATCAGGAGGAGTCCAGGGTCTCTACTAACTGTATTCACTCTCTTGTACCTTCTGTGAAATCCTGTCTGTGGTGTGAAGCTTCTCTGTATGACAATCACCTGAGAGTCCACAGCAGGTCACCAGAACATGTCTTATGTGACCCCACCACTTCTCTGGAGAGCAGGAAATGCTCCCTCCATAAGGAACTACTGAGGTATTACTGCATTAAGGACTCCACCTGTATCTGTCTGTCCTGCAGGTTGGATGAGGAACACTGGGAACACCAGGTGGAGACTCTATATGAGGCCTGTGAGATGAAGAAGAAGAAACTGAGAAATGTTCTACAGAAAATGATGACCAACGGGGAGGAGACGGAGAATAGAGTCCAGAGTCTGCAGGAATGCAGGAGCAAAGTACAAGGAAAAGCAGATGATGAAA